CTTCAGTCATTCTTGAGTTATTTGAGAAAAACTGAAATCTTGTATTTTTGTTTTTCTCGAATATCTCGGAACCTATTGATTTCATGAAAAAATGACTTCAACATCCTCATAGCACTTTTTAGTGCTCTTTTCAATGGTTTTCTCAGTTTTCCATCAAAATGTCAAATTTCTGAGATATCACCTACAACTTCAATTTTTCTTATGGACGCCATATTGGATTTTGACAGATTTGAAATCAGCATCAAATTTCCTTTCTAGTGATGTATCACACTCACAGTTTTGTTCTATTTGGGGTACTGATTTCCAATTTTTGTTTTTATGTCAAGTAGGCTATGAATTCTGTGTTCTATGTTCTTGCATAACTTATCGCATGGAATTGGATGTGTACTATTATAGCAGAAAAAAAAATTTAATAACAGTTGAATAATACAAATACTGAAAAAAAAATCAATTGAACTGCTCGAAATGGCCCCCATTGTTCTCGATACATTTTATTATTCGCGAGCGAACATGATTCGCTGCTTTTCTCAGATGAACTCTGTTGATGTTCTGGAATGTGTCCATCACCCTATCTCGTAGATCATCAATATCTTGAATTGGATCTTCATAAATTTTATTTTTGGCGTAGCCCCACAGGTAAAAATCGAGAGGCGTACAGTCAGGCGACCTTGGAGGCCATCTCACAGGTCCATGGGTAGTAATTAATTTAACACCAAATTGATTCTCGAGATATTCCCTAACCAATCGCGTATTGTGCGGTGGGGCACCATCTTGCTGAAACCACATTAACTCATATTCAGCAAGTGGTATCTCGTCTATAAAATTCGAAATTTCATTTCTCAATAGCTCTAAATAACGTGGACCATTCAAGTTATAATCGTAGATTATTGGACCTAGTAGTCTACTGCCTGAAAAAAATACACAATGAGAAACAGTTATTCATTGACCAAAATTCTAGTAAGGTACCAAATATCCCACACCTGCCCACACCAAACATTGAAACCAAATATGTTCTGCCACTTTGATTCTCTGATGACATGCGGATTATTTTGTGCCCAGTAATGATGATTATATTTATTGTAAATTCCATTATTATGAAATTTCTTTTCATCGGTCCAGCAGATATTCAATGGAAAGTTCTCGATTCTTTCACACTGGTTATGGAACCAGTGACAAAACTCGAGACGACGTTCATTATCACCAGGTCTTAACCCTTGTACTATCACTGGTTTGAAAGGGTGGTACTTATCATTCACTAAATGTCTGTGGATTGTTGTTTTCGGCACAAGAGTTCTCCGACTAAGCTCTCGAATTGAAATGGTAGGAGTTTGATTGATGATTCCTTCGATATTTGCAATATCTTGTTCATCCAAGCGCAAACCATACCTTGGCCTAGGTGCAATGAAACTTCCATGCTCTTGCAAATTTCATTGTAATGTTAGAAAAATAGAAGGATGCGGTTGTTGTCTTTCTGGATATAAATGGAAGTATTGTCTAGCTGTTTATCTGTTATTTCGATTATTTCTGATATAACAATTGTACATATCAAATTTTTCGAGATTTGTGAACGGCATTGTTTGCCCCGAAATAATTGACTTGTATTTTTTCTTGACGTTCACAGAAATGTCACTTGGCTCACCTTTGCTCCAAGCCTACTCTATGAAAGTTGTGCCAGAACACATTATCGTTAATGTTTATAGAGAGCTTAGCGCATAGCCTACTGGACATAAAAACAAACATTGGAAATCAGTACCCCAAATAGAATAAAACTGTAAGTGTGATACATCACTAGAAAGGAAATTTGATGCTGATTTCAAATCTGTGAAAATCCAATATGGCGTCCATAAGAAAAATTGAAGTTGTAGGTGATATCTCAGAAATTTGACATTTTGATGGAAAACTGACAAAACCATTGAAAAGAGCACTAAAAAGTGCTATGAGAATGTTGAAGTCATTTTTTCATAAAATCAATAGGTTCCGAGATATTCGAGAAAAACAAAAATACAAGATTTCAGTTTTTCTCAAATAACTCAAGAATGACTGAAGCTAGCCCGGATTTCTCGATAGATTATGATTCAACATTAAATTTGCTACAACTTTGCTAAGTTAACCGTTTCTCCATCTCTCATAGTTACTGAGATCCCAATGGTGAGGATCGAATTTGGGACACAATGTATGTCCCGATGGAATGTGGAACCATTGTACTTTATCGAACGGCACCTGTGCCAATCACTATCCTGAGCAAGATGATCGACAAATTCCACTTTCCTGTGCGGAAATTTGCACTAGATTTCGCGATTTGATAACGAGATAAGAATGATGCCATCCGATAACAATTGAATGGTGGATCTCAAAAACCTACCTGTGCCACCCCTCAGTCTGAGCCAAATCCACGACACAGCGATTTATTTGCTCCTATTATTCCGGACATACTTCCGTCATGTGATAACGAGTTGAAACAAAAAGCAAATGGAAGGGAAAAATGTCCCTTTTGCAAATATCCAAGTTAGTGGCAGAGCGTCAATATTTTCGTGAATATTTCGCTGTCGAATGATAATATCCGATGGACCAGTGTGAAACTCATGTGGTGCTCGGTATATATTGAATGTCGTGGATATGATTTTGAGATTTATTCTTTCTTCAAATACTACCACTTCTTCAAACGTTAATACCCACTTTGTATTTGACATGTGATCCACTGTGTTTACGTTTTTTTTCTCGGTTGTTCTACTATGTGATACTCGATGTGATGAACTCTTTTGTGCTCATCATAATATAATGCCCAACTTGTCTTGTTTCGCATTATAATTTTTGCAATAGGTAGAAAGACGATCAAATGTTCAGTTTTGTATACACTTGGTATCCAATTCCAGATGAATACGATCAAATCCATCCATTATGACCGTAGTCCGTGTCCCCGTGTCCCGTATGACCATATCGATCTAATTTCATCGACCAATTTTCTTATTCAATTTGTCCAATATCAAACAATATTTCGTCCAATTGGGATAGGAAATCAGTAAATGATGAATGAACGACAAATTCCATCCATATACAGAGGTGTGCACAAAAAACGGCCAGAGCTGTACCTTCTGAATTATTCGAGATCGAAATTTGAAATTTTGTGGGTAGCAACTATACCATATTGTTCAGTTATTAACGGAAAAAATGTTATTCCTTGAATACCGGTCCAACCGGAAGTGACCCCAACTTTCGATTTTCAAATGGAACACCCTGTATTTTATTTCATAATCGGTTAGGGCTTATCATAACGAATTCAATGATATCAAGTTCGATAGGGTCGTTTCCGGTGAAACTGAAAGTAATAGAACAACAATTGATTTGTCAATAAATGAGCTATTTGGTATACTTGCTACCGACCAATTTTTAAAATCCGATCTCGAATGATTCAGAAGTTACAGCCCTGGCCGTTTTTTGTGCACTTCTCGGTTTTTGTCCAATCTCGATCAATCTTCACCGACCCCAATCAATGCGCGCGTCAAATCGTAAGTCAACCTCGTCGATTCTCGTGCTTTCTTGACCAATTTCGACCAATTATGTGCATTATTAGGTGCATTTTGTTGTGCCATTCCAGAAGTGATAGAATGAGTGGGCCCAAGAAACCGGATCGGCGCATAATCGGCGCCAGACAATGCGAACACTTGGAACTGTAGAAACATTTGATATTTTCAATCTCAAAATCTGATCATATTATATTTGTCCTCGTATTTGTCTCTGTTGACAATTTTGTCTTTTAACTGTAAATTCTCATGTCACAATAATGATCACAAGTCAATCAATGTACGAGTGAAGAAGTAATTGGTTTTTTATCCATAACTCGCTTAGTTTTTATGCTATCGATCTTTTAAAAAGACATTTTGTAGGGTTTTTTCATCAAATTAGTTTGATATTTTTTCTGCTTCTATTTTTCAATGGGTTTAAGCTGAAAGGACTCAAACAAATTGCTTTCAACTCAAATATGCATACTTGGTGCTTATTATCGTGTATTGTGCTTACTTTAGAAGTTAATTCATAATTCACATGAGTAGGTACTAATTATTTGTTTTCTCAGGATAAAAGAAAGAGGCCTACAGGTGCGAAGTTTCGCGAGCAGAAGAAACTGAGAATACAAGAAAAGGAGATGATGGCTGGATCTTTAAAAGGTCATCTGAAATTTCAACAGAGGCGACCACGGTAACATCAGGTCCTGCAACAAGTGGAGGCAGTTGTAGCAGCAAAACAGCTTCTACTGATGCAGAGCCCGATGAAGCAATGACGAGAGATTTTTGATGGTATAAATTTTAGCAATATAATTGATGAATTTGCAACATCAAAGTCTCGGAAAATATCGCTACTATACAATAGTTATTTTTATTTTTCTATTGTACCTAGCTATCATTTTCGAAGTAAAAGTTGAAAGTAGTACTTATATATGACATTGGGCAATACTTCATTTATTTGTTCCAAAAAAAGATTTGATTTTTAGATTTGGGTTATTTTCTACTATTTATGAACAAAGTGTCTGGGCCCCATCAGTTGAGTAAATGCTTTAAAATGAGTGTTAACAAGAACTTATTTTAATTTATTTTGTTATGATTTTATTCTGTTTGTTTCTTTTTGATATTTTAGTCTACAAATAAATATATAACTTCTAAAGTTCAGTTTTTTGCTTTCTTTCAAGTACCCACCTACCCGAGCACCTACCTACCTTCCTACCTACCTCCAAAGAAATAAATGAAAAAACATGATCCAAAGTGCCTTCGGGGCGCCAAAACCTTTTTTTGCACACAGGCGCCAGTAGCCCTTGCCTGAGGGCCCTGTTTGTTCATGAAGTATCACAAGCTCGATTACAAGTAATGAGCTGAAATGTTTCGCATTCATTCGTTCACACCCTGTACGATGTGCATGACCCAATATCCAATTAATCAACAATTCCAAACACTTCCGTGCCCGTACTCCGTTACTGTTACTCAATACACTCCCACTTCCCGCCCACTCACCTGCATTGTTTCCCGCGGTCTTTTTCTTCAGCTTCGCCTTCTCTTCCGCCCCCCTTTTCAGGTTGAACCTGAAACTGGCCAGGCGCGAAAAGAAGCCGCCAATTTTGCCTGAAGCCTTCGACTGTTTGCTGGCGACGTCTTTGCGCGCGTCCTGCGCATGCTCGGCTTTTCGAAACGCGTCTTGCGCCTCCATCGCGTCGACTGGCTTAAAGGCCCGGCGTTGCCCGCTCGTTTCCGCCGCCTTTTCCGCGGTTGCGTGGTGGGGACCGAAGCCGATGCCGATGTCCAAGTGTGTGTGTTTGTACTGGATGCCGTCTCCGTCTACGTAGGCCTTGATCACGCTGCCGTCCTTGTCCTTCTTGATGAGTTGGCTGCCTGCGGAAGTAAGAGACGGAATGAAAACATTGGGAACAATAATTGTTGTGAGTTGTGGGTGAGGGCGATCGGAGATCATGTTAGGAATGTTGTGGTTGTGGATGCAGCGCGTATACGGGGTTATTGGATTCGATGTTTATCTCTGGCATTTCTCTGGGATGTCGATTCGCATTTCGCAAGAATTCGTACAAACACAGGCGCGTATATAAAGGAGGAGGGGGGTAATGGGCAGGCCAGGATTACCGCACATAATAAGGCGAACCTAGGCCATGGCCTATAGGGGGCACGCTTGAAGGGGGGCGCAGGGTACGGGAAAATCTGACGTCATTTGCTTTTTCTACATTTTCGAATTCGAATCACTGTTATTGCGTGAATAATACACATTATTTTCTTGAAAAATAGTTAAAAATGTGTTCGAATGGACTTAAAGGAAAATGTGTTAATAGCTCAAATAATCCGAAAAATTCTCCAAACGAGTTTTGCAGTTAAATATGCCAATTGGAAGGGGGCGTGATTCAAAACTTTGGCGTAGGGCATATATAGCTGATGCTTATCTGAGCTTGGTAATGGGGGTAATTTCCTAATAACACGTAACGTTTTAGGGACGTCCCTATTTGGTACATTTCAATTCCGAATGCTTCAATACCTAAAAAAATTGTCCTTGGGACGTCCCATTCCGTACATCTCATTCACTGTCCGAGCATGAACGTCCATGGAGAATATCGATATATCGCTATATCAATATATCGATATTTGTGGAATTATATATCGATATACGCCATACTCAAAATAATCATATTTTTTTCCAAACCAGAGGCGAGACCAGAGGTTATAAAATCTTCAACGAAACTTAATAAATCAGCATAAAACTACCTAATACCTACATACCTACTTACCCACCTACGCAATATATTTTCATGCCTGAACAAACCTTTGAAAAAAATTATTACGAAAGCGTCTAGGGGCCACATTAATAAAATAAATTAATTGATTCCAATATATTGAGAAGACATCGATAGTTATCGATAGTTATTGATATATCGATAGTTATCGATATATTGATAGTTATCGATATATTGATAGTAATCGATATATCGATATTATTGAATTATATATCGTTATTCGATATTTCGATATATCGATAATAGCGACATATCGATATTTTGTCCCAGGCCAAATCGGGCCATGTATCCACATTTCTTCTGGTGTCTGTTATCAAAATTTGCAAGTTAAATTCTACCCACCTCCAAGCGTTCGATTATTGATTTGAAATTTGGCATGCCATAATAATTCCGATGGAAATTCGTTGTGACCTTATTATTGAATGAATAAAAACAAAATAACAGACGATTTTTGTGATTATGGTTCGATTCGAATAAAAATTGGTATATAGGGGCTTTCGGAGTTGAGGATTATGATTCTTTCGTCCAAATTGGAAAATTCAAGATGGCAACCCCAATATGCCAAACTATAGTTTTTAATTCCAAATTGGTATCTGAGGGTTTTCGAAACAGAGATTATAATTCTTTTGTCGAAAACGAAAAATTCAAGATGGAGGCTTCGAAGTTAGAGTTTAGTGATTATAATCCGATTTTTTTCAACATTTTTAACGGCGGGGTTTTTGGAGTCGGAGATTATGAGTTTTTGTCAAACTTCAAAAATCTAACGCGGAGGCTCCATAATGACGGAGGAAAAAGAAATGTAAAAACATCACTATACTTGTAGATAGGAAAAAACTGAAGTTGAAAGTAAAAAACGTGATGTGATCACTTTTTATGTATTCTTTTTTACGTCGAATTGACGTGCCCGAATGTACGTCTATAAGGCGCCTTCTCGTTCTAAGCAGGGCCTACTCTAATAGAGTAGGCCCTGTTCTAGACGTAAGTCGAACGTGAAATGTAAAATGAAAATGATTCTAGCTTTGACATGAACTCGAATTTGTATCCTTCATTAACATTTGAACATTAAAAACTTTTCGGGGATACAAACAAGATATGTCGATGTCGTTAGAATGAAATGATCATTATTGGAAAGAAATTGTATCGTTTGCTTTCATCACAATTTTGAGTTTAAGTAAACTAATGATCGACTATAGTTATAGCGGTACCTATATGATATACCATGTGTAGAGGCTAGGATAGAGAAGAACGCACTTATATTACTTCGAGGAATATTAAGTTGGGTTAAACCTAGGTGAAACGAGGTCGGTGGATAGGAACAGAAAATATGAGTGAAGTAGTTATTAAAGGGAAGGCTGAATAGGAAAACCAACCTCGTATTGCTTATGTTCTCTTCTCGATTCAAATTTGAATACCTATACGCTTCCTATCGAAGTTGCTTTAACGCTTCTAGTGATTGATCATTTATATAGGCTATTGTCTGCAAGATGAATAAGCAAAATATGATTGCAATAAAGTTAATTAAAATGTGTGTTTACCTTCTTTTGTGCCTTAGTATAGTAATCCAAACTAATTCACTGTCGCAAACCGTTTTCTCCTCAGAGCTATGTTTTTAAAATAATTATTGACAAACACGGACAACCCTTGATGATATACATACCTAAACCGCAACCACCAATGCAACTAACAAACGATATGCACCTTATTTACTCCTACTCTGAAAATGGTTTCTTCTTTCTATAAGTACCTATACCTATGTGAAATGTGGATAACTTTTCATTGGATGTTGAGAAATATTGGAGCTTATCGGTATGTCACGTCATCAAGGGCTAACGTTTTAGAGAAGTAATTATTTCCATTATTGAAAAAATATTTGTCATCACTTCTGATGATGAATGACTACACGGAAAAAAAAGTTTTGTTGCACCAACAAAATAATGTTGGTAATTTTTTTTTGTTAAACTAAACACAATTTTGCGAAATCAACCAAATATATGTTCATTCCAAATGAACGTCTCTTATTCAAAAAGACAAGATGATTTGATTGAAATATTTACTCATTTGAACAAAATTTCCATTTCATTCAACAACATTTATAGTTGACATAAAACAAATTTTGTTGATCCAACTATAATCTCATTGTTCAATAAATCATATGCATCTTGTGTATTTGACAGAATTAGATTAATTTTGACATAGATTTAACATAGTACATTATATTTTGTTGATTCAACAATCATTTCATTGGGCAACCAATCAAAAGTTTTTTTCTATTAGACAAAATTGAATTGATTATGATAACATTATATTTTGTTGATTTCACACATCATCAAGAAATATGTGGCTATTCCAAACAGATTATTTTGTTAAACAGAACCCACAGATAAATTATATCTAACAAATATTTTGTTGAATGATTATCTAGTTGCATTTTCGCCACCAGGTGGCGTTTCTTCCCACCTTTCTACACTCGCCTCGATTGGGGTAACTACCTAAAATATCAAGCTGTCCAAGAATGTCTAATGAAGCTTATACACGCTAAAAGTCTTGAATCAACTTAGGAAATTAATCTCTGATTTCTCTTAGTCCTGAAATTCAGTTATTGGATTTTTTTCAATTATTCAACAGGATATTTTTGTCAATTCTAAAAACAATTTGGTGATCCAATTAATTGTTTCATTGAATGAAAAAAAAACTTTTGTTATATTCAGAATATAATATATATTGTTATTAAAACATATTCATTCTCTGAGAAACTGAAAATTTTGTCACTTGAATAAAATAATATGATCATTTCAATCAACAGAATCTATTCATTAGATCAGATATTGTATATTATAGGAACAAAGTAGTCTTTGTTCATTCAACCAATTTGAATCGTTAATGAGTTGAATCAAATGAATTTCAAGTTCAAAACTGACACAAAAATTCGTTGCGGTGACAAAATATTTGGTCGTGGATATATGACACCCAGAATATGTTGACTTTACAAAAAATTTGTAGTTTCAAACAAATTTTTTTTCTGGGTATAAAATTCTATTGATACTAAAAAAAACAATATTAACTTCAAGCGATGAAAAACAAAAAAAATCTAATATAATGGGTATATCGATGTATGGGGTTCCATTATCTCATTTTGAAATTCCGAGTGAGGTTTTGTTAATATTCATTTCGAAGTTGAATTAATTTATAAATAACAAGTAACAAGGGGAAACAACAAGAATTCTTCTATGTAGGAATCTGATGTATCATATAAGTTAAGCTCATTGAACGGAGAATTCGGTTTGATTGAAACATGCATAATTTTGAATTGATGTATCCTTGAGGATATTTTGGTTGATACTTAGTTACCGATAATTTATCAAGGTATGTATTTCGCAAAGCTCTAATTCTATATTATTTTATAAGTGTAATCGCCCTGTATAGAAACAGAATGAATAGTATAATCAACGTTAATTGAAGTATGCACTGGATAAATACGACATCAAAGGAATAATATCGAACACCGAATAGTTTCACTTGATCTTTCTGGTATTGAATTTGCTATTCTTGGGAGTGTATAATTCACGGACCAGAAAGTATGCCAATTGAAATGCTTTCAACGAGGCTTTCAAGAACATTTTACACTGAAATCATTATTTCTTCGTGATTGTGAAATTAGTTGAATTCGAAACGGCGAATGGAAAAAAACAACGGTTAAGTATGTTCAGTCTTTCCACTATGTTTTCATTATTACTTATACAGGGTGTTTCATAATGATTTCAAATATTCAAACTATATATACAGAATCCTGAAATAAAATATGATTTAGATAATAGTTACATTTGAAAATTCACAAATTATATTTGTGCCTATAATTTATTTGACGTATTATTGTGTATAGATTTCAATACCTGTAATATTATTGTCATTCTCCAATGAAAAAAAATTAATTTGTGTTTTTCTATTTTAGATCTTCAAGCTCGAACTTCGTGGATTTCAGGTCGTTTATAGCCCAGGAAAACTATGATTTTTTGAGTGTTGCTGAAACCTGGGTGTCGGAAGAAATATACCTGATTTCCGAAAGAAAAACCGACTATTTCCGAACGCAAGTAATTTTCG